GCAACTCAATCTGCTGCCTGCTTTGCCTGCTTTGGGTAAAAGTTGCCCTTTTTTATAAAAAAATCAATGTTTATATAAATATTTATAATATTTACATACAAGCCATGCCCAGCCAGTCACATGACCACCAAGCCACACCCACAAATTAGGCCCTGCCCACCCCTGCCTCTGTGTGTTTGTGTGTGTGTGTATGTGTGAGAGAGAGAGAGAAAGGGAGGGAAGAAGGGAGGGAGGGAGAGAGAGAGGTTAGATCAGATCTCTCTCTCTCTCTCTCCCACCAATGTCAACAAGCCACTGTCAGTCAAAATTCGTATTAGTGGTCCCCAGGATTTAAAATTATGAGTTTGGTGGTTCCTGAGGTACAAAAGGTTGGCAACCCCTGGAATATAGAATATACCTCTTGCGTTTGTCGGACATACTCACTCCTGGTTATCTTACTGAACTATAAGTCCATTTTATAGGTTTCCCTGATACACTGAGCCACACCTCATTTTGGCTGGCTGGCTGGTTGCCTTTCAACCTGAGGCAGAGACGCCCTTCCTGAAGCTAATGGAGAGCCAAGGTCACCTGCTAAAAGCTCTAAAAATCAATTGCTACCTGAAAGAACCTGACATATTCCTGGTTGTCTTTCTTTTCTTCTGGGGGTTAGAAGGGCCGTCTTTTCTTTTTCATTCATTCAGGCATCGGTGACAATTTCCCTTTTAGCTGCAATGCTCTTCTTCGCAGTTTCAGCTCTTTGCATGTCCAGGTTGATGGATAAACATAGTTTGGGCAAGATGAAAAGAACACTTAAGCACACTGGCAGGTGCTCGAGTCTCCCAGGGTGGATCAAGTTGCAGATGCAGAATTGTTGTTCAGTGGGCTGTGGAACTCTTGATGTCTCCCACGGCTTCCTTGTTTGTATGTAATGATTTGCAAGGACAATTCAGTTTGGATCTCTTTCCAAGAAAGCAAAAATCATTTGAGACACACCGAGAGAAAAATGGGACAACCCTTCCTAATAATGAGGACAGGCTGTAGGAAGATGCTGGCAAGATGGGTTGCCATGGCAATGCTTTGAAGATGCAGACCCAAAAAACCTCAAGTGAAGCTCCTCCCTGCGGGATCTCCCTCAGCTGTGGTGTGTAAGCAGACAAAAGAAGGGAAGGACAAGACTGAAGAAATGGGAACCTGTCTTATGTCCAGTGCTACTAGACTGGAGTTAGGGTTTCACTTAGGGGTGTGGGCTGCGATCTGGGTGAACTGACAGCTTCACACCTTCAGGTCTAGGGAGTACCAGGCCACCTGTTTCTGCCAGGGGCCTCCAATCCCAATTCAAAGAATGGCTTTAAACCAGTGGTGGTATTCAGCCGGTTTGCACTGGTTTGGGCGAACCGGTAGCAAGGATTTGGCATGGGTCGCCAAACCCATAGTAACTTCTGGATGGCCACGCCCCCAACCCATCGCCTGGTCGCTGCTCACTCACTTGCCCCACCCACCTGATGATAGCTCACCCTGCCTGCCTGACGCTAGCCCGCCCAGTCACTCCTTAAGGTATTTCTTTGTTTTTCCCCTCCCAACAATCAGCTGTTCCTACAATCAGCTGTGCCTGGATTCCCCTCGCTTACTTACTGCTTCACCCAGGAGGCTCCCCTGAGGACCAGGAAGGCAAAAAAATAAAAAAAACCCTCCAACCCCCCTCCATTTTTTCCTGAGGCCCCAAAACAAAGCATGGAGGGTGCTATCCCCCCCCCCAAGCTCCATTTCTTCCTTCCTGAGCCCCAGGAAAGCCTTCTGGGAGCAAAAACACCCCCTAGGAGGCTTCCCCGGGGCTCAAAAGGCCCCAAAATGAAGTGTGAACTGAACCCCCAGTTCAGTTTTCTGCCTTCCTGAGCCCAAGGGAAGCCTTCTGGGACCAAAAGCACCCCCCCCTCCAAGAGGCAGGCCTGAGGCCCAGAAGGCCCCCAAAAGGGGGAGGGGTGCTGCAAAAAAGCAAAAAACCCACCCCCGCCTAGTCACATGGCCATTCCCCCTAGCCACACACCCCTAGCCACACCCACAGAACCGATAGTAAAAAAAAATTGAATCCCACCACTGCTTTAAACTCTAAATCTCCTTCATTCGTGGAGCTTTGCAGGCTGTCTGATCTCAAAAAAGCTACACTTCTTTCAGCTTCCCAAAGCAAGGACTCGGATCCTCCAAACCAAGATAACTCTCCATTTTGGATGAAGTTGCACTGTTGGGCATGATGGGAAGGAGGAGATGGTGGCCGGAGTGTTAATTTTTTAGCCCAGCGTATTGTGCAGAAGGGGACAGTGTGGTGGCTCAGCCGTTAAGATGCTGGGCTTGTCAGCTGGAAAGCCGGCAGCACAGGTTCGAGACCTATGCGCCACTCAACTGGGTGAGTGCCTGCCAATCTAACAGCTCAAAAGCAAGCAAATGCGAATAGATAAATAGCTACTACTATGGTGGGAAGATAACAGCGCTCGGTGACACATGACCATGGACACCGTTGGCTCAATGGTCTTGAAACAGAGATGAGCAGCGCCCCCTAGAGTCAGCAACGATTAGCGGAGTAAAATCAGCAGGGACTCCTTTCCTTTAAAATTATACCAGAGATCTCCAAATTTGGCAACTTTAAGACTTGGGGACTTCAACTCCCAGAATTCTCCAGCCAGCAGGCTGGAGAATTCTGGGAGTTGAAGTCCCCAAGTCTTAAAGTTGCCAAGTTTGGGGACCCCGTATTCTGCAGACAGCCAATGATTACAAAACTCTGGCTTTCTCTCCCTCAACAAACCTTTACAAATAAATCACCTGCATTAAAGGCACGATTTGTTTTATCGCGATTTGGTGGACAAACCGCACTGAGTTAGGTTTGACTTCTACTGAAAGCCATCAATCTTCTTTTACAAACCACAGTGTGTGTGTCAGTTCACGCAACCCAATGCTGTTAGCCATCACTCCTCGTTTCCATCACAGCTGAGCACCATGTGTGAACGTATCAATGAGCTCCTTCTTCTGCCTGCTAAGGATTCTCTCTCTTTCCCCGCTCTGCCTTTGCTCTGTCTCGCACACTTCTCAGTCAGAGCACACCCTTAAAAAGCCATTCAGAGAGTTTGTGCAGATAAATAGCCTTTTTTGTTGTTGTTGTTATCCTTCATGCTGTTCAGCAGCAAAGAATTCTTGACGAATACTTCCAGAACATAAAAATGAAGCATCTGTTTACAAAACTGTGAGCTGGTAAGCCCTTTTTTACTCATCCATTATTCTTAGAGGCCTCTTGGAAGTAGCTCTAGTCCTCCACTCTAGTCAAAATAACAAAGGGTCCCTCCCCTCCATTCCAGAACCTTCTTTCCATCAGCAGCCCCCTCTCCTCCCTACAAGTTCTGTTTCCTCCCTCGCCTGCCATTCACTGCAAGGAACAACAGTAGAAGCCCCCACCACCACCACTGCCCCCCATGCAAGCAGGTTGTCTTCTGCAGCTACGCACCAGCAACCTCAATCCAGCAACTGATATTTTAGCATGGCTTATTAAAGAAACATCTGTATTAGCCAGCGGAGATAAAAGTTTATTGCCTCACACGGCAGCTCAACAACATTTCCCCTTCGGTGATTTATATGCCATGTTATAGATAAGGGCAGGGCTTAAGATAAGGGTCACCTTATTTTTATTGCATTACTAAGAGGGCCCCTCCTGCTTTATTGATTGAAAAAGCTCAGAGAACAAAGAATTAGCTGCAGCTCAGTAAGTTCCTCCAACTGCAGATGTGAAGAGCTTTTCTGTGCTCGCAACCGAAGGGCTCCCATCCATCACCGCTGCAGGGATCTGTGGCTTGGGAGCGCTGAGATGGTTCAGCTTATCTGCTGCCCCCACCCCCACAAAGGGCTCCCATCACAGCCGTTGTTGGGTGGGGAGGGGGGGTGAGACAAATTCCCAGCCAAGCAACCTGGAAAATGTCCTCCTTCATCCAGAGGTCAGCAACCCCGCTGGCTTGGAGCTGCTCAGACACGCTAAGCCACAAACTGCGCTTAACCAGCCTCCCCGCAGCTGTGTTCCTACTCCAGGAAAAACATCAAAATAAGCATCTCACATTGAGGGCCACTACCTTGGTGTACTTTTCTCGGTTTTCACTTTATCAGAGTGGTTTGTGAGCCCGGGCGCAGGGTATGTTGTGCCTGCATGTCCAGAAGCGTGGGACAGCTGTAGATCTGCTTGGGAGGGGGTGGGTTGAACAATGGGGGGAGCCAGGCATCACTCTGACCCCCCCAAACCAAACAAACAACACCATGGCTTAACCCAACAATCCGTGGCTAATTTAATAGACAATGGTTAAGGGAACGGTGCTGGTGTAATAGGGGTATAGTCAACGAGGAGGCCCATCCGCCGCAGGCAGAGCTAATTTGGGGCTCAACATTTCACCCCAGCTTCCACGGTCCCTCCCTTGCTGGTGTGCGACGCCAGGACGGGCCCCCGTTGTCTGCCTCCAGTTCCGCGTTCAGGTCTTGCAAAGCAGCCGCCGGGCGAGGCGGGCAGGAAAAGACCCAGCAGGGCGGCCCCCTTAACCGGCCGCAAACCGAAACACCCCTCCCCCCCCCCAAGGGCTGCGTGCCAATCGGGATCCAGGCTTCTCCCGATCCCGCAGGGCAAAGCGCAGCGCAGCGCGGGCTCCTTCGCGCAGCGCCTCTTGAAGGACGACGGGGAAAGGTCGCTCTCGGGGCGGGAGCGAGAGAGCCGCGCCCCGTCCCGGGGAATTGGGGGAGGGGAGGCTGCCCGGAAAGCGGCCGGGAGGATGTCCCTGCAAGGCCCGGGACCAGCGCGCTGGTTGGGGGGGGGGTCTTTGCGGCCAAACCCAGCGGGAGGGCGCCCGCGGGCAGCGCCGCTCGAGGGGCTTCGGGGCGATGGGGAGGGTGGGAATAGCCGCTGCTCTCTGGGCCCGGGAAGCCCCGAGAGCCCCCAGCATCGCCGCGAGAGAGCCGGCCCGGCCCGGCTCTTCCTCCCGCTCGGCTAGGCGGAGGACCCCTTCGCGGGCGGGAATCCGGTGGGACGAAGCGCCGCCGCGCCCGTTTGCCGCCCGATGGCTGCGGGGCTGCGTGGAGGCGGCGTGGCCGGCGGGTCCCTCCGCGGAGCGCCGCCGCCGGAGATGCCGAGCCGAGGAGCGGCTTCCTCGCTCCGGACGGGGCTGCCGAAGTGCCGGGCGAGCGCCTTGCGAACGTCGGGGCCCGGGTTGCTGGGTCGCTGCTCGAGCCGGGGCTGCCCAGGGCCGCTTCGCCCGACGCTCCTCCGGCTTCCCCGCTTCGGCCCGGGGATCTGCCGGGGCCGCCGCTTCTCCGCCTTTGTCTTTCTTCTGCGAGGCGTCGTTTCCAAAACAAAACAAAAAAAACGGGCGGTGGGGGGGGGGGAGGCAGCATCGCCTAAAGTCTCTTCCCCGGGCGAGGTTGGCTGCGGCTGCCTGGGGTGGCGCGGGGAACGGGCGGCGGTGCTCCTCGCCGGGCGGCGGCAGCGGCGGCGGCTCACTTGAGGAAGAAGCGCGTCTTGCTGTCCCCGAGCAGGACCCTGGAGGGAGAAAGGACGGGAGCCGTGAGAACCGCTCGCCCGGCAAGAGGCAGCCAGCCCGGGGCCTTTCCGGCTCCTGCTTTTCCTCTGCGGAGGGGCAGCCTGTACAGGCCGGGTGTCCAACTTTGGCAACGTTAAACCAACCTGGCCGGGAAATTCGGGGAGTGGAACTTCACGGGCCTTAAAGTTGCCAAGGTTGGACACCCCACCCCCCCACCCCCGGCTGGGCCCCGTGCGGGCTTCCTCTTTCAAACTCCCCACAGTCTTCCCTATTAAGGCAGAGGTCCCCAAGCAAAGCTGGCTGGGGGATTCTGGGAGTTGAAGTCCACAAGCCTTAAAGTTGCCAAGTTTGGGGAGCCCTGTGTGAAAGGGTTGATGCTGTCGGAGTCCAACCCAAAGGTACCTACTCCGCCCCCCTGTTGCTGGGTCTGGGCAGCTGACCTCCATAACACCCTACCCCGCATTCCGGAAAGAGGAGCGGCCTGCTCTGGAGGGCTTGAAAGGAGCTGCAGCAGCTCCACTTGAGAGCTTCTGGCCGAACCTCCCTGAGGCTGCACCTTTCTCCTCGCTGCCCTTCTCTGCAGCCCTTCCACGCTGAGGTCACAGAGTTGGCAGGGAGCGGGGAGGACTTCTACTCCAGCCTCGGCTCAAGCAGGAAACCTTCTGGACCTTCTGGTTGCCCCATCTCCTCTTAAACACCTCCAGTGTTGGAGCACCCACAATTTCTGGAGAAGGGTCGTTCCCTTGGTTAATCGTTCTGTCAGGAAATTCCTCCTTAGTTCTCGATTGCTTCTCTCCCTGATTAGTTTCCATCCGTTGCTTCTTGTCCTGCCTTCAGGGGAAAAGGACGACCCTCACCCTCTTTTTTTGTGGCAGACCGTTAGATGTTTGGGCACTGCCGTTATGTCCCCCCTGGTCCTTCTCTTCATTAAAAGAGGATTGAAGGCGTCTGCAGCATATGATCAAAAAAGTCAAGATGGCGTCCAGAGCGGTGCATTCAAAGCTCTTGCTATCTTGAGTTTTGTTGATGACACCCCTCTGAACGGCATTTTGTGGAACTTGGGGGCAGTGTATTAACTAACCCACCCATTTTCCTGCCCCCCCTCCTCATCTTTAATAATGCAGAACCCAGGAATGAACCTCATGGTTGTCGTCATCCTCCCCCCGCCCCACCGAGATCCACTTCTGATGAAAGCTCTTTGGGATGCTCATATGACTGTGCAGTCTTCCAATATCTCAGGGGCTGCCCCAGAGAAGAGGGAGTCAAGCTGTCCTCCAAAGCACCTGAAGGCAGGACAAGAAGCAACGGGTGGAAACTAACCAAGGAGAGAAGCAACCGAGAACTAAGAATAAATTTCCTGACAGTGAGAACAATGAACCAGTGGGAACAATTTGCCTCCAGAAGTTGTAAATGCTCCAACAACATTGGAGGTTTTTAAGAGGGGATTGGACAACCGTTTCTCTGAAGTGGTGTAGGGTTTCCTGCCTAAGCAGGGGGTTGGACTAGAAGACCTCCGTGGTCCCTTCCAACTCTGTTATTCTGAAATTTCTGACATCCTGCACATCTCCTCCCTCAATTTTGATCAAATTATATCTTCTCTTAGCTCTGTTCCAGTCCTGGAATTATCTTTTCTTGTGCCTATATTTGTCTTGTTCCAAAAGATCTGAGCTCATCTCATTCATCCTTCGTGTTCTGGCCATTGGTGGAGAGACAATGACGGGCGTGGCTTTAGGAGGCCATGTTCTCTCTGATTTTCCACTGAGCGGTTGAGGAGTCCCAGTTTCGGCAAGACATCTCATCTGCAGCTCCTTCCTGGTTTTGCCTTCTACTTAAGCACCCTCCCTAATCAAGCTTATTCTGCTGTGGCCAGACATGATTCCTGCAGCCCTTATAAGGTGCAAGAGATGTGCCACAGTCCACAATCCATCATCCAGGAAACGCAAACCATAATGCCAGAAACCAAATCTCTTCCCCTTATATGACCTCTAAAGTCAAGCCTTTAAAAAAACCGACACAATCCTAGAAGCAAGATTACGTGAGGTGTTAATACCACTTTATAAGGCCACACTTGGAATATGGCCTCCAGTTCTGCTCACCACGATATAAAAAAGATGTTGAGATTTTGGGAAGATTGGAGAGCAGAGCAACAAAGATGAGGAGGGGACTGAAGGTTAAAACATATGAAGAACATTTGCAGAAATTGGGTGTCTTTAGTTTAATGAAAAGGACTGGGGTTGATATGATAGCAGTGTTCCAGTATCTCAGGGGCTGCCCCAAAGAAGAGGAAGTCAAACTATTCTCCAAAGCCCTTCAAGGCAGGACAAGAAGCAACGGATGAAAATCCATCAAGGTGAGAAGCAGCCTGGAATTGAGGAGGAATTTCTTGACAGGGAGAACAATTCATCGGGGGGAAAGGCTGGACTCCAGAACTTACAGGTGCTCCAACACGGGAGGCTTTGAAGAAGAGATTGGACAGCTGTTTGTATGAAATGGTGCAGAGTCTCCTGCTTGAGCAGAAGGTTGGACTAGAAGATCTCCAAGGTCCCTTCCAGCTCTGTGATTCTGCCTTTTCCATGCTGAACCTAGTTCACATTACCCATGATTGAATATCTTTTATGGCTAAACCTGCTGCATAGACCTAGCCTGCCTGGTTAGTTGATGTTACCAAAGTCAGACGCTGCCTCTCCCCGTATCTCACTAGCCCAAGGGAGGTGATGGAATGACAGGGAAGGAGCCCTGGGGGTGTAGGGAGAAGGTCCCCCTGACCCTAGTGGGCACAGGTTCGCCTCTGGCTTTTGAATGGCACAGAGGAGCCAGATTCAGAAAAGTTGGCCCAGTCAAGCAGAACCACATGTTACTTCTAAGCATACTTGCAATTAGATTAATTGCAAACAAACGAGATTCCTTCCCATATGTTGCCTTATTTATGCTTTCTGTCACTCTGAAAACTCTGGGAGACCAAACAGAAGCAGATGAGAGGCAACAGGCAGCTTTGAGGCTTTGTCCATTCCTGACGTGGGCCAAGACGTCACAGACTCGGTTCTCGGGAGGGAGAGTCTTTCCTGGCCTGGCCTGGACCTGCCAAGACTAAATGCAGGACTTCCTGCATGCCAAACACTTCTCCATTCTCGTTCTCAATGAACCAGGGATCTGAGATGTTCCATTGACAATCTGAGATGTTCCATTGACTGTTCCTGGGGAATCCCTGCTAATAGACTCAGTTAATCTTGAGTCCTGCTCCAGAATCAAGCCAAGAGCCCAACTAGCCCAGCCGGCAACCCCATGAAGTGGCATTTGCCCTCTGGAATGAGATTCTCTCCCACCCCCCATACAGCTCCCCACCCCCAGGGCATTCTGGAAGGCCTTGAAAACCCACCACGTACCTTATCAATGCGCCCACCAGAAGCGCAGCCCCCATGGGGCCCACCCAGTACACCCAGTGGTAATCCCAGTGGTTGGCAGCCACTGCAGGGCCAAACGCTCTGGCTGGATTCATGCAGGCTCCAGAAACGGCTCCCCTGGACAGAGAAGAAAGATGGACAGAATGAAACCGCCAGGAAGGTTTCCATCCTGGGCAAAGCATTCCCCTAGAGACGGTCTTCTTTGCTGCCCCTTTCCTCCTCACGGAGTGCAGCGTTCACTGGCAAGGAATGCCCCCACCCTGAGACATTGACCAAGGCAGGCCCACTTCCGGTTGGGCCAAGAGGCCAACGCATTCAGGTCTCCTCAGTGTGCACCGAAGTGGCCTTGAAGTAACCAGGAGGTGAGCCTCCAGGGACAAGCGAAGGTCTTCGGAAGAGCCGTGCTTCAGTTGGTCTTTAGACAAGCAGCAGGCAAGCACTGCAGGGCGAGGTGTATTTCCTGGGTGACTAGAAACAGGAACCCCCCAGGGCAGTGAGTGGGCAACGGTCACGTTATTCTTCGGTTATTCTAAAGAAGCAGACCTCCCCAGGGACTTGGCTGTGAGGCACCAGCACTTTCCGGGGGGGGGGGGGGGGGGGCCCGCCCCGGGGGGGGGGGGGGGGGGGGGGACGCGGCGGGGCGGGGGGGGGGGGGGGGACACCCTGACGTGGATCTGTGAGGGGAGATGGGCCCTGTCTGTCAGCTGAGCCAACATCAGGAAGAGAGCCCCCCAGGGATTCCAGGAGCCCTCCTTGGGGGCCACCCTCTTCCCTCCGCTTGCTGATCTCGGTTGGCAACAGCTGGGAGCACAATCGCCTCCCTTTCGGGGTTTGATCCGTTGATGGGTGCGGGAGTTCTTCTCCCTGGTTGCTGGTGGGACGGGATGGAAACCTCCTCCAGACACAGCCTCATCGGTGATGGAGAGAGGCTGGGTTCAAATGCTTCTGGGCATGAAGGGCCCAGGCGGGCACCCTGGATCCTACTAGCAGAGTGCCAGGGACAGGCCGGAAGAGCTGTCCCTGCCCACCCTAAAGCCCCCACCCCCCACCCCAGCCACGGGGCTCTGTCCACCAGGCAGGCAGCGAAGCTCTCCAGCCTCACAAGGGAGCTGAGCAGCTAGAGTGGATAATGAGGGCGTTCTCCGCAAATTCAGGCTGCAAATGGCTCCTTCCCTGATTTAGGAGGCAAGCTCAGGAGGACCTTTTTTCTCCTTTATTTTGAAGTCCTAATGGACAATGGCTTAAAGATGGGTCTGCAGTGTGTGGCAGCAGCCACAAGAGCAAACACAATCCTAGGTTTCATTAACAGAAGGACCTGGGAGAACCTGCCAGCCGTCTCTGTCCAACTCACCCAGCCAGGATGTCCACAGTGACAGTGAGGCCAATGCAGAAAGGTGCCAGTGGACTCTTGGTCTTCTCATTAATAGCCCCCATGCAGACAGCCATCACCAGCAACATGGTCATCACAATCTCCCCCACCACAGCAGCTAGGAGCTGGGGATCCGAGGTGATGGCCGTGAAAGCTCCTCCGGTGGCATTTTCATACCTCTCCCACACAGTGGTCACCTGAGATAGACATCAAAGAGGAGTTATCCCAGACTGATAAACCTGGATTAGCCAAGCATAGAGAACCTTGGTTCAATAGCAGGAACTGTGAGAAGGATCTTGAAGTCCTAGTGCACAATGGCTTAAATACGGGTCTGCAGTGTGTGGCAACAGCCAAAAAAAGCCACCACGATCCTAGGCTGCATTAACAGTAGAAAAGAATCGAAATAATGTGAAATATTAGTACCGCTTTATAGTGCCTTAGCTAAGACCACACTTGGAATATGGCATCCAGTTTTGGTCACCAGGTTGTAGAGACTCTGGAAAGAGTGCAGAGAAGAGCCAGAAAGATGACCAGGGGGCTGGAGGATAAAACACATGAAGGATGGTTGCAGGAATTGGATACGCCTAGTCTAGAAGAACCAGGGATGACATGATAGCCGTCATCCAATATCTGAGGGGTTGCCACAAAGAAGGGTGGGGGGTGGGTTCAACTTATTCTTCAAAGCCCCAGAAGGCAAGACAAGAAACAATAGATGGAAAATGATTAAGGAGAGATCTAACCTAGGAGAAATTTCCTCACAGGAGAACGAGCAACCAGTGGAAGGGCTTGCTTTCAGAAGTTGGGGGCTTTCAGGAAGAGTCTGGACAGCCACTTGTCTAGGGTGGCATCGTTTGGATTGGAAGAGCTCTCAGGTCCTTCCAACTCTATTAATATATGAGTAACCTGTGGGAGTTTGGGGCCTCATCGGGTTCACACTGGAGGCTCATGAGTCCTTGAGGTCCTCGAGACCGAGTGGCTGCTTTGACAAAGATTTGGGGCGTCGCTTGGGGTTTCTCCTTGGCTTCCCATTGAAGGCTTGCAGTTCCAGGTGCCCCCCAAGCAACCTGAAACCAGAGACAGGGATGTTCTCCTCCTACGAAGGCTTGGAGAGGAAGGCCTGACCCGGAAAGGCTGCAGCAAGTGGCTTTCAGTCGGAGGGATTTGAAGACACAGCTGGACCGGGAGACAGACGTCCCAGCTCCCAGCATACTTCCCTGCATCGCCTTTGGCAAGTAAGGAGGGTCAGCAGGAGGACACGTTCAGAAGCCAAGCATCTCCCAAGGTATCCACGTTTCTGCCCACCGTATTAGCTTCCATTGGTTCTTTTCAGCGGGTGGGGTTGCATGGGGGGGTGGGGTCTGCCATGGGCCAGGCACCTCCTCCTAAACCCTAGGAGACTGGACTGAAGTTGCCGTAACTAAAGAGGAAGCAGCCATGTAAGCAGAGAGGGGGGAGGAAAGCCAGAAATGTTGTCTGAAAGATTCTTCGGGGTGGTAGATAAAGAAAGAAAGAATTTGGTAAAGAAACAAAGGAAAACGGTCACCTGAACAAAATAAAGGAAGTTGAGCACATGGTAACCCACACAAACACACCAATCCCTGCAACGGCTGCCATCCATGTAAGGAGACAAACCAAGAGTAGCCGCCAGTCTCGTCAATCATAGGAGAAAGGACTTTGGGGGATAAGGGGGGTCCCCCCATTCTTTGAGTCGTGTTTGGATCCAGGTTGGGCAGCTTCCGTCTCTCTGACCGATGCCTGCCAGCCTACTGGAGGAGGCCATGTGTAAATGTGCCCGAGTGTGCTTATGTGCGTGAGGAAAAGCAAATGTATATTGCAAACAGTAAAATGTTGGTGTCCCTTTAAATTCGTTGGGTCTTTGTGTATTTCAGAGAACCGAAGGTGCCTCGGTGTTCAAGTGATTTGTGTGCCTCCTTCATTATTTCCTGGCTGTTGACCAGAGTTTTGTGCCTTGTCTGTTCCAGCCACACCTTTCTGGAATGCCCAGGTAGAAAGCGGGGGTGGGGTGGGGGGGGCAAGATCTGCATGCCTGAACAGGCTGTGAGTGAGTGAGTAACCTGGGCCTGGGGAGACCTGAGCCTGGGAGCGCAGGGAGCACCACCCAACATCTGCCATAGCCTCTGCTCTCCATCTGCAATGGTATATGTGAGAATGGCCTTGGGAGAGAGGGCAACCACCACCAAGGGGACGATCAGATAAAAACCAGCTGAGCCCAGAGCAGGAAAGTGGCTGTGAGGAACCTTCCAGAAGGACCCCTCCCTAGTTTCCTAGGCTGTCAAAGGGTCCAGGGAAAAGATACGCAGTACATTCAGACTCGCCATATTCCATCATATTCCATCATAGCTCATCTGGTTGTACTTCCTGTCTGGTGTATCTTGTAAGGCTGGCACCTTGTAGCCCAAGTGCCCTCCCCTTCCCCCCCCCTTCCCCATCCTCCGCCATACCTTAGCCAGTCCAGCTCCAATCATTCCCCCGCACAGCTGGGAGATCCAGTATGGAATGACCATCACCATGTTCAGCCCACCGACGAGCCAGGCCCCCAGGGAAACGGCCGGGTTGTAGTGGCCTCCACTGCAGGCAGAGAGTGGGAAAGAGACATCTTGGGTCAGAGGATGCCCCCATTGCCTGCTGGCAGGGAGCAAACCTCGCGAAAGTGAAATCCAGGGTCAGAGACGTCGACAGGTTTAACACGTCGCTTTGAGACATTTAAGAGTCAGCCTGGTGCTGATGACCTGAGGGGGGTAGCTGAAGTTCCCCATTTACTTCCACGTAAATATCCGGAATATGTTGTTCCCGGGATTGATTTTTGTCATCATATTCTCTAGGTCAGGGTTGTCAAACTCGCTTTCATTGAGGCCCGCATCAGGGTTGTGTTTGACCTTGGGGTGCTGGGGTGGGCATGGTGGGGTGGGCATGGCCAGGATGTTGGGGGGGGGGGGCACATGTGGTGGTTTGAAAGCTCTGCTAGCAAAAATGAGCTCCTGAACTCCGTTTTCGGCTGGGACGGCCTCCTGCAACTTTCTGGCAGTGAAAGTTATGGCAATGAGGTTAGGAGGGCTGTGCACGGCCCTTGCGGGCTCCGTTTTCCCTGGCAGAGGCACCATGGGCGGGTCCTTTGCTGTTTCCAGGGGGGCCTGCGGGCCAGATCTAAGCACCTCGTGGGCCAAATCCGGCCCCTAGGCCTTGACTTTGACACCCCTGTGCTAGGTGTATGTTATAGGAGAGAGTCCACTCCAGTGTTACTCCAAGGTACTTTGAATGGGGATCCCAGGGGAGTAACTTCTTGTTTTAGCAGACGTTCGGCCTCTGCCTTGCCTCTCTGCATAAATGGGCACAGCATCCTCCCCTCGTGTGACTGCAGGGACCCACAAAAAACTGCAGATCCCATCCTGACCGGCTCTAAACTGAGGGCGTATATCGGTCCAGTATCTGATTATTATTTTTTTGCTTCAATGGTGAGATGGCCTAGGCCTTGGTATTTTTAACATCTACGTTTTATTGTGTTTTACTAATCTAGGTGAAATATTAATTCTAGTCCATGTATGATTATGCCATACACTCAATCAATCAATCAATCAATCACACATGCCTGAAAGAAAGAAAATATTCAGGGATGGGCTGCTACAGGTTCTCCCCAGTTGGGGCGAACCAGTATTGAACTGGTAGCTAATTTTACGGCCAGTTCAGTGAACTGGCAAATCCCACTCCTGGCTGGCCCCGTCCACCCCACCCTGCCCCTCCCAGGAGTCCCCATGCAGCCCGTTTGGGATCCCAGGTAAGTATAGGGCCCACGTGGAGGCTCTGGAAGGCCAGAAAAGGGGCCCATTTCCAACCTCCAGAGGGCCTCCGGAGCCTGGGGAGGGCAAAAAGCCCCCCCCCACCATGGCGCAGGAGGCTGACTAAGCCACGCCCACCATGGCCACACCCACCCAGCAACCGGGCAGAGAACCCTTTGCTAAAATTTTTGAAGCCCACCCCTTTAAAGGAATGTAGAGGAAGAGAACTGATGTTGCAGCCCTGTCAATCAGTGTTTCTCAACCATAGCAAGTTGAAGATGGCTGGACTTCAACTTCCAGAATTCCACAGCCAGCAAAGCCGGGAGGTGAACTCCATCCATCTCCAACTTGATGGGTCTTCCTGAATTCAGCTGGCCTCTCTTCCTCCTCCCGTTGTGTACTCTAGCTTCCTCCATCGCTCCTTCATGGCTGACTTGCCTTCTTGACCACATCCCCTGGCCAAACCACACGGCTGCCCCTTCCTTCACCTGATGTTCCCCAAGATGGCAATGGTCAGTCCCAGCGCCAATCCATGAGCCAAGGCCGGCTGCAGCCTCCCGGTGCCATCTGAGTTCTCGATGACCGAAACGCAGCCAATGTAGATGAAGAAGGCCGAGCCCACCAGCTCCCCGATGCAAGGCTGCAGGTAGCGCTCGTACCAGTGGGGCTGGGCTGGGCCACGTTTAGTCTCCAGCTCAGGCTCTTTGAAAGACATCCGTCCAAATTCCGCGTCAGACATGGCTGGCCGATTCTGGAAGACAAAGATTATGCCCTGGTATGCAAACATGTTCCCTGCCAGCCCGATTAGGTGGGTGGAGGTTGACCCTGGAATGTGACAATGGGGCCTTAAATCTGGCTCGCTTGTCATTCCCCACAAGGCCACCTTGTTCTGGGTGGGGTAAGGCTTTGGCAGAGCTGTGTCCCCATTGTCCTATTTACCCACCTCTGGTAACAGGCAGCGAAATCAAACCTACAACATCTTGTCAACACTGCAGCCAGCCAGACTGGTCAGGTGAAGATCTCCCCTCTCCTCCTTTCTCTCTTCCTCCCTCCCTCTCTCCTTCTCTCTCTCTCTTCTCTTTCTCTCCTCTCTCTCTCTTTTCTCTGTCTCCTCTCTCCTCTCTGTCACCTTCTCTCTCTCTCCAGTGTCTCTTCTGACTCCTCTTTTTTTCTCGGAGTCCTTCCCCCTCTCTCTCTTTCTTCCTCTCCTTCTTTCTTCCTTCCCTTCTCTCTCTCTCTCTCTCTCCCTCCCTCAAGAACAGAGCATAGAAGTCCAAGGTGGAACCAAACAGCCAACTGAAAAATCCCAAAATTGGGCCGGGCGGCTGAGTTCACTCTAAGGTTGCCTCAAATTTGTTTTCTATTGTAATGCAAAGGCACATATTCAGAACACTTTTGTAGGCCTCCAAAGAGGTAAGAAAAACTCCACGATGGCTCTACGATTCCCTGGTCCTCTCAGAGGGCTCGGTTCACATCACACCAAAACGGAAAGGGAGCTGCCTCGTTTTGGTTTCGGGTGCTGAATAAACCCAGCTCAAGGGTTCCGTTCAGGGCTGAATGTGCTGTTTGTAGGTTGATTCATTGGAGAATCCAGGCAAGATGGTGAGTGAACTCGGCTGTTAAATGGCACCTGGGCAAGGGCTGTTTTGTTTGTTTGTTTAATTGCTACGCTGCTCATCTTACCCAAGTGACTCTGGGGAATTTACAATGTCATAACAAAACCATATGAACACACAAAAGCCCAGATTAAAAGCAGAATTAGGAACAAGTTAAAACATGCAAGTAAAAATAAATATCAAAGTTAAAAATTCCAAAAGCTAAAAAATTCACAAAGAAGTCCAAGCCGCCAGCCATCCTCGGGGCTGCATCGCACCTTTAGACCCCATGCCAATCGGCCAAGCCAGGTCTCTGAACCCCCAAACCAGAGGGGCTTGCCTCACTTCTGGGGGTTAGATGTTCCGAAGGGCCACAGCAGAGGAAGACCTTCCCCCTTGACCCCGCCAGCCAAAACTCCTTGACTGACGGGATACGCAGATGCCCTCCCTGCTTGACCAGATGGGACGGGTCGCTGTAAACGGGATGAGAGAGTCTGGTGAGATTTTGAGGAGCTGCTGCTTAGAAGGGGCTGGCAAATAACGGCAGAGAGATGAACTCGGCGTTTCTCAATCTTGGCAAATGAAGATCTACCGACGTCAAGTGACCGAGGTTGAGAAAGACTGGATTAACTAATCGGTGGTTGGAGCACAACAAGTAGACCTAAGACCAGAACTATTTTTATTAGGCAAACTACCAGAGAAATACAACAAAAGAACTGTATACTTAATGGTACATGTGATAACAGCAGTTAGAATTACCTATGCACAAGATTGGAAAAATGGAAGTATACCTACAGACGAAAAGGTAATAAAGAAAATATTAGAATGCGTCGAATTAGATAGGTTAACGGGGGGACTCAAAGATAAAGGGGAGACCGTATTGCACAACATGGGACTGGTTGTACAAATGACTAGGCAGAAGATGCAGAGATTAGAAATTGAATAACGAAAGAAGATTAGCAAATTGGAAATAAATACAGACGCATAGAGATATATAAGAATATAAACTGTAAGCAATATTACTATTGGACTATACATGACAATAGATTAAAATGTACAAAGTGATAAATGTATAGACCGTTATGGTATAATTATGAAAATAATGGATATAACTATGACGTGCAATATCATGTATTTAAAAAAAAGACTATACTGTATGACTATGAGAATAATGGTCACGATTAGGGTGTATAATACTATGTATATTGAAAAAGGATCTGATACAGCCAGTGCACTGTTGTTGCAAAACTGGAAATATGATGTAGAATAAAGGAAAATGTATAATAAAAACATTTATTTAAAAAAGATAACATGACATTTGCCTTTATGGGCATAAGGGAACCCCAGAAAATCACACTTGCCTTCAAAACTCAAATTCAGTTGAAAACTCACCTTCTTGGCTATAACCTAAAACGAGTTTTGGGCATTAGTGAGATGTCCCAAAGGTGCTTTTTCGGGAGGCAACTGGACTTTCTAGTTTTTCTTTAAAGACATTTTGCTTGTCATTCAAGAAGCTTCTTCAATTCTGGGGTGGGGAATTCAGTCAGAGCTGAAGAAGCTTCTTGGATGAGAAGCGAAACGTCTTCAAGGAAAAACCAGAAAGTTGAATTGCCTCTTGAAAAAAAGCACCTTTTGGGACAACCGTGACCTGGAGGACTGAGAATCACCATTGACACTGCTGAGATGATTACTTCACTCCACCACCCATCATCCACTACTACATCAAATAAAATCCACCATTTTTCAGAGTTCTATATAGTGCTGGGCAGAAGCATAGAGCTGACTGCACACCAAAGCACGCACACGTGCACACACTTCCCATGTTAACAGCGCAGAAAAGCCGCCTCCAAACGGCACCCTTTGCACCCCTTCCAGGAGTCCTTTCCCCTCCTTGCTCAAATATGCACTACTAGACACCCCACAATAGTGTGGGAGTACAACAGCCATTTTCTCAGGCAACTATTTAATCGTTCTCTGCTTTTGGGGGCTCGATAACGTCACCAGACTGGAACTGTAGTGGTGGCCCCCAAGGCTCCACCTGGCCCAAGGGTTGGGGGGCTCTGTTGGGCTGAGGGGGTCAGGGCATTCTGGAGCCCAGATCTCTCTGGGTTTGGCTTCCTAGGAGCAAGCAGAGCAACCCCCTCCCTGGGTCTCAAGGGACTCGAGGAATCACTGGGGCAGGAGGTGCTCGAATCGGTGAGGACTAGCATCTTCAGAGATACCCTCGCTGAGTGGATAAGTGGTTGCTTTTGAAGCTTGGATTCTTGGCCCACAAGCTTCTTCTCATCTACCATCTGGTTTGATCCCCTTTGCCCAAGGCAGCCTCACGGGAAGCCAGCTGCAAATCTGAGAGACACAACGCTAGAAATACTGTATATAAATTTGTATACATATCAAAATAAAATATTGGCTTTGGAACATCCTACTACTCCCACAAAGAAGAATCTGCATCTGACATTTAAGAACGGAAAACTATTCTTCAGCGACTATTGTGTAAGAAATGGACTTTGGAATGAAGATCCGACTTAGAATAATTTGATCCCGCGCCTTCTCTTCTGCCCAAGGAAGAGCTCAGTGCCAGCCCATACTCAAAGGTGGAGGCACTTCCTAAAAGTTAGAGACCCTGTGCTCCATCTCTGCTCATCAAGGAGAAACAAAGGCTTAATGAAAAAATATTCCAAGAGTTTTTTCTTAATGAAAAAATATTTCAAGAAAAGAACGAAAGGAGCTTCTTGCTTTTCCAATATTCTTTTTATGCAATTCTCTGCTTTTACACTTTCAAAGATACCCTATAGACCAGGGTCTCCTCCAGCCTTGGCCACAACTCCCAGCTGGCTGGGGAATTCTGGGAGTTGAAGTCCCCCAAGCTTAAAGTGGCCAAGGTTGGAGACCCCCTGCTATAGACGACAAAATTTTTCATTTGTGGTCAGGCAGATTCCTTCTTAGCTACTTCAAGTTTTTGGAATCCAAAGAGGAGAATCGGGGGGGGGGGGGGGGCTTTGTGGAATGGTGGCTTGCCTGTCCCCCTTCTGGATGGAACCCTCCTTCTCCTGGAGACCCCACCCCAACCCCAACAGTTGCGGGACTCACCCAAGCCTCTTTGCTCCTGGCTGCAGCCGCCCGACAGCTTCACCCTGGAATTGCAGCGGCTCCTGACCAGGTTGCCCACGACTCCTCTGGCTGGCCGGCCCCTTTGGCTGGAGCAGCACTTTTCTTATCTCCCAGGAATATTGGCACCCTCCCCACTGATGGTGGGGGGGGGGCGTGGGAGAAGGGTGACAAAAGTGCAGTCAGGCCCAAAGGGGAGGGGAGGGCAGGGCAGGGCAGGGAGGGGCCGTTCCAGCCCGCTGGGGAAGAAGAGCTATTTGCTCTTCAGGTTTCATTCTGGAAGCCTCTGCCAGCTCTGGCTGCCAGCCTGGGCGAAGAAGTATAAGGCGCAAATCCACCAAGTAACGGCTGAGGAACGCGCCTTCCTCAACACAGCGGTGCCCTTGGGGGCAAGGCGGTCACTGCATACACGAGGGGGACATGAAAGAGGTGGCACCCCCAGTGCCCTCAAAGCTTCGACTGGGCCTTTCTTGGACGCGGCAGAGGCAGTCAGCCCCCTCTGGTGGGTGGACTTTGGCTCCCAGGATTCCTCAGCAGCCCATCCAGGCGGGAATTCTGGGAACGGTCGTCGTATCCTTCGGGAGCGCGCCAGCATATAAAGAGCACTGGCCTTGAGCATGTACAGAGAGCTTTCGCATTGAGCCTGTCCGGGATTCAAACTGGCTGCCTCTGAAAGGCAGGCAAACCCAGTCCCTGCCGTTGCATAAAGACACCTGCACTCGCATGCCACTAACGCCTCTGCCATGCCAAGCCTGGGCAGAGAGTTGTGCTCCGAGGCCTCCTCCGCTCAGGTGCTCAAGGCAGAAAGAAAGGTGGGCAAACCGTTCCTGCCAGAGGCAACAAAAGAGGGACCCTGTGGACTTTGGCCCCTCGTGCAGCAAGTGGGAGCAGCCTGTCTTTGCTGGGAGAGGGGGGAGGGAGGCTTCAGGGCTGCAGAGATGACATCTGCAAAGGGCACCAAACAGCTGGAAACCGAGGCATCACCAAGGTGGTTGGAGGGCTCTCTCCATCATGCAGTCTCCCCATTGCAGTGGCTCTCGGCCAGCCTTTCCCAGGCAGGCCCCCCGTCAGAGCTGCAGGGGCCCAACTCCCTAAGGCTGCCGTGTGGGCACAATGGGAACAGCCAGCGCACCTGTTGGGGCAGCCGGATTCCAGGCAGATTGGGGGGGTCATTCAGATGATATTTTATATAATACGGTTCAGTCTCCTCGTTGCGCTGCGTCTCACGACCAGCCGATGCCAAAAGAGGGAGAGATTTTGAGCAATTGGTAAATGTTTAGTTAATCAGCAGACAGGCATGGCATGACCAGACATACCCCGGAAGGGGG